GTGCCTGGTGCTGGTACGTTACCCTTTGATTTTTTCTTCGGGCGGGTGTGGGCTTTTTTTGATCGATTTCCGAGGGCTCTTTTCTCGAACGGTCGGTGCGGTACCTGTTCTTTTCTTTCTATCATTTTGTTTACTTTTTCCGAGTGGTTTGTACCCTATTTTTGTTTTGTTTCCCCGCGGCGTTGTATGTGCCGAGTTTTGAGACCACGGGCTCCCCATTGTTTGTGGACTAAAGAGCTAATGTGAGAAACAACAACAACAACAACAACATCAGAAAATACCAACATGGTAATGCATGAAGGGGAAACCCGGCGTCCGGACAAAACCCTTCGGAAAAAAACTCTACCACCACAAAAACCGTCGCTATGACTGCGGATCACAACGGCCGCACTTGTTGGAAAGGCCAAGGCGAAGACAAGAACGCGAGGAACTACGTTCCCCCGGACGATGGTCTCCCTACGCCCCCTACTCCTGCCATTGGTACACAGACCGCAACAGTTACGCGCCTTTCGCCGCATGGAAAACACGACTTCTCCCAAGTGCTAGAAACTGCTACAGCTACTCCGGCAAATTCATCAACTTGCGCCGGTGGTACTACTGCAGACTAGCCCTGCTAAGGGCCTTGGTTAGGAGGTCCGCGTGTTGCTCCGTTGTCGGAACAAATTCGACTGAAATATCCCCCGACCTAAACAATCCGCGGATGAAATGGAACCTCACGTCGATGTGTTTCGTGCGATCTGAGCTGACGGGGTTCTGCACCAACGCTATGGCCCCCTGCTTGTCCTCAAGGGCCTGGATGCTGCTACCACTGGTCTCTGGGGCAACAAACGAAAGTACAGCACGCACAAACAACGCCTCCTTGACGCCCTCCCCGGCAGCAATGTATTNTACTGCAGACTGGCCCTGCTAAGGGCCTTGGTTAGGAGGTCCGCGTGTTGCTCCGTTGTCGGAACAAACTTGACCGAAATATCCCCCGACCTAAACAATCCGCGGATGAAATGGAACCTCACGTCGATGTGTTTCGTGCGATCTGAGCTGACGGGGTTCTGCACCAACGCTATGGCCCCCTGGTTGTCCTCAAGGACCTTGATGCTGCTACCACTGGTCTCTGGGGCGACAAACGAAAGCACAGCACGCACAAACAACGCCTCCTTGACGCCCTCCCCGGCAGCAATGTATTCGGCCTCCGTCGAAGACAAAGACACGATGCTCTGTGTCTTGCTACCATGGCTGACTACGGTAACTCCAACCGTCGTAGCCAACCCTGACACCGAATGCTTGTCCTCCGTGTCGGCATAGCTAGCGTCTACGTATACGGCAAGCCCTAACCCCGACCCCCGTTGGTAGGTGATGCCGAGGTCCCCCGTCCCTTTCAAGTAGCCGAGGATCTTCTGGATGGCATCCCAGAGCCTCTTCGCCGGGGCTTGGGCGTGGCGCGCTACCACACGCACGGCGAACGAGACGTCTGGACGCGAGAACGTTGATACCCACATCATGCTGCCGATGTCTTCCCTCACCGGCCACTCCCTTCCCTTTTCGTCATCTCGCTTCGGTCCTAGGTCGACTGTCAAAGCGTTTCACCATGCTGTCGATGTACGCGGTTTGCGAGATATCATGAGTCCCAGCCTCTACATCTCTCTCAATGGCACATCCGTCAAACCATTCGCACTCTCCCAGATTTTTGGTGGGGAATTTCTTGTTGAGAGAAGCAAGCAACTCCTTGCAATCCTCGTCAGACGCAGCCACCAAAATGTCATCCGCGTAGATCACGATAATCATCACCANGGTTTGGGAGATTCTAAGAGTCCCAGCCTCTACATCTCTCTCGATGGCACACCCATCAAACCATTGACACTCTCCAAGGTTTTTGGTGGGGAATTTCTTGTTGAGAGAAGCAAGCAACTCCTTGCAATCCTCGTCAGACGCAGCCACCAAAATGTCATCCGCATAAATCACGATAATCATCACCACGACTTCGTCTACCATCTTGCGGAAAACACACGGGTCCGCCTTGCATTGCTCGAACCCGTTCTCGACTAGCGTATCAGCAGCGTGGTACCCCCACTGCCTACCGCTCTGCTTCAGACCATAAATCGCACGCTCAGCCTTAGCAATCTTATGCGACTTGTCCCCGCACCCAGCGGGGAGCCTCAGAAAAACCTCCTCGTCTAGCGTGGCGTGTGTGTGCGCCTGTTTCACATCCCAGTGATTGAGGTTCATGCCCTTCTCGTTTTCTACCGCAAGCATCAGTTTAATGGATGCGGATGATGGGCAAGGGGAAGACGAATGGAAGTAATCGACGTTCGGGATTTGTGAAAATCCCCTAGCAACCAAACGCGTTTTGAATCTTCCCTTCCTTGTTGGTCTTCCAACTAAAACACCACTTTGAGCTCACAGGCCTGCGCCCCTCTGGCGCACCGTCTACGAATGAAAACGTCCCCGTGCCCAAGTGCCCTTCAAACTCTTCCCTCATGGCCTGTTCCCACCCCTCTCGGTAAACAGACTTGGCAACGCCGGCTACAGTCATGGGTGGGGCTTCTACATCACTCGGACGCTTGCCTATGGGGGATTCACTTAGCTCGTGGGACGCCAGAGCCGTCTCGAAGGCGTCTGGCGAGTTGAGCATGAGGTCCACCGCACCCAGCGGGAAGTCCTCCGCCTCTTGGCGCGCCGCGCGGGCCTCCTACGCGCGCTCGAACAGCAACTCTCGCACCGCCATTGCCTCTAGCCCTTCCGCCACGTGAAGTACCGCTGAGAGCATCCAGCTGGTGAACTCCTCCGTGCTGCTGACGGGCAGGCTCGCCGCCGAGGCGAGCAGGGCTTCGGCACTTGTCGGCGACGGGGGCGACTCGTACCTCGGATTTCGGCGAGGTATCTCCCTGGTCCGGCGGCTGGTGAGTTCCGCCGGCTTGTCGAAGCGGGCAAGCCGCCAGACCTCTGGCCCGCGGAGCGCCGGGAGATCCGTCTCGCTGTCGCTGTCGCTGTCGCTGTCGCTGTCGCTGTCGCTGTCGCTGTCGCTGTCGCTGTCGCTGTCGCTGTCGCTGTCGCTGTCGCTGTCGCTGTCGCTGTCGCTGCTGCTGCCGCTGTTGCCGCCGCTGTTGCTGCCTCTGTCGCTGCCGTTGCCGCCGCCACCGCGGCGGCTGCTGCTGCGGCGGTCGTCCTCGCCGCCGCCCACATCGGCCATGCCGGCCGACGTGGTAGATGGGGTGACGCTCGCGCCCTCCCTCNGCTGTCGCTGTCGCTGTCGCTGTCGCTGTCGCTGCTGCTGCCGCTGTTGCCGCCGCTGTTGCTGCCTCTGTCGCTGCCGTTGCCGCCGCCACCGCGGCGGCTGCTGCTGCGGCGGTCGTCCTCGCCGCCGCCCACATCGGCCGTGCCGGTCGACGTGGTAGATGGGGCGACGCTCGCGCTCTCCCTGCTCGAGGGGGCGCCATCGCCAGCGTCGCTCGCGCCCGACTCCTGGGGCGCGACCGGCGGCGCCGCCGGCGCTACGCGCGCGGGCGGCCCCGCGGGCCCCGGTGCTGCCGCCGTGTCAAGGTTGAAACCGGTCCTCCATCCACTGGTTGTCCCTCCGCCTTCCCTTCACCTTTGCTCGACGCGCCCTCCCCAACCTCGTCCTCTCCAGTCGCGAATTCCTCTTCCTCCTCTGCGATGGGAGGCAGCGACTGGGGCAGGGCGGCGGGGGCGGCGGGCACGGATTGCCAGGTGAAGTTGCGAGTTGTGATCGCTTGGCATTTTTCGTTCAAGATGCGCACGCGATAGTTGGTGGTGATTCCCGGGCCGAAGTAAAAACATCACTTTTGGGCTTTTGGCTCGGACTTGTGTGTGCGCTTGACCTTGTATACGGCAGGTTTGAGGAAAGGGTACGTCGCCCCCGGCGGGGGAGGGTGCCCGTGCCACATCTCGTACGGCGATTTATTCTCTGAGTTGGATGTGGTGGAGGTGCAGTTCAGGGCGTTGCATGACAGAGCTATGGCCTCGGCCCAAAGGGATGGGTAGTTCGGTGCTC